ATATATTAGTCATTATAATGTGAAAGTAAATAAGAATGGTTGATGTGAATCTTTAAAAAACTAATTCCGCAAAATTTCGCCAGCCTTGTTAGATACTGTTTAAGGCGGGCGCATTCATGAGTGGCCATCTATCCGACCTAGAACTTGTTACTTGGTCGTGAGGGAAACCAACACAGGTATTCCTATGTTGTATATTCAAAATATCAGGGGAGACGACGGGTCACTCATAGAGACTTAAAGTGAGCCACTAAACAACGACAAGAGGAAATTCAAGACTCTATAAAAAGAAGAAAACAACCGATACCTAAAATATGATAAAATGGTACTCTTTTACAGAATAATTACGCTCCTATATAGTTTACCGTTGTAACACGGTTTATGATTAAATAGTGAAGAAGATTATAGCACCAATATTAACTATTTGGTGGCTAATAGAAGCAATTCTATAGACAAGGGTCTACAATACACTGACTCAAAACAAAGCCAAGAGCACAAACAAACCTAATGCAGGCGTTACAAATACGTAGAAAGAATACGCCCGCCTTAATTTGCCTTGTAAGTATAGGTTAGTTAGACAATGTCTTGCCGAGTGAGCGCTCCATCCACGACATATAGGGCGCGAAGTGACATACCTGAGCGAATGTAATGTTATGCTGACAGAAGGTGAGGAAGAGATTAGTATTAGTATTTAACGTATATTTTTGTTCTGTAAATAAATAAATAGAATAGAAATGTTGGGTACACTTTGTTGAAACTACTGTGTGCGGCATGAAACAGGATGAAAATAGATAAGGGTTATGTAGTAGGAAGTCTGCGTGTATATACATGCACCGACACATACATTGTGCTTGACAAAAACTGGCTGGATGAAAGCGTGGGTTAGTGATTTTTTTATGCCATACTGTGGCTTGGACTTCAGTATACTAGAGGATAACAATAATTCAAACGAGAATTTAATGTATTAAATTATATATAAAACAAAAGAAGATCACACTAATTTATCCACAGATGCTCACGGCCAGCAAATTCGTTTTAAGCCACTCCAATCCTCCAGCGTCTTAAAAGTAAACAGGTGATAACTGATAAGAATAAATCACAATCTCTAGAAAAGAACGCATTTCCTGTTTCTGCCTATAAATAATTGCGCATACAGATAAATACGGTAATGTATTTTTTTCTATTTTTTTTCGTATTCTATATGTACAATTGATTTTTTCTTAGTCAGTTCATATGGACGCTAAAGGTAATGTAATCGCCCTATACACTTGTAGATTTTATATTATAAATATATGTACATGTTATTACTTTAGTAAACATATTTTCAGCTAATGTTTGTGCTATTGTGTTGCTATACTCATATGTTCACTGTGTCTACATTGTATTGCTGTTATTCACGTATTCCTTTTTGATCCTTTATACTTGGGTTTCACTTCTGTAATAAATGTCGCATTAGATTAGAGACGCATTTGTAGAGCGTGGTGTATAGGCTGCCGCAATCTGAATTATTAGCTAACATTACGCTTGTTTTCTTTCTTTCTCGCACAAAATTATTGCATTTTTTAGTTTACTTTTCATTGCGGAGCATGCTCGCTTCTTGGTCAAGCTTCGAAATCTTTGGGGTAGGAATTCTTGCATGTCAATCTGAAAATAATAAAGGACAAATAACATTTATAATTTTTTGCGGTTAGAAACCAGTGGGTTATTTGTTAAAGAGTGTGGAAACAGCTTGTTAGTCTGGGCATGACTAAGCACATTGTGCTCTTAAGTTTCTCTGAATACTACTACGTGCACTTCACAACCTCATCGAATCATAAGGTGCGCGCAGTCGGCCTCATAGCCACGCAAGAGTTGAATGTAGAACTGTTTGTCTTGTATCTTCTGGCACTTGTATTATTCTATATATACATGTATAGAGGTCATTTCATGCTGATGTTTTTGTAATTATTGATATCATACAAACCATATATAGACATATTATTTTTTCCGTTAGTCTTTGCCATATCAAATGTCACACTAAGGACATGAGGTCTACACGCATGTCTGTATAAAGGCAATAAAGGAGGTATTTTCAAAGGTTCGTTCTGTATTAAGCATGGCACTGGATAAACCGCACGCGGGGAGACTTCATTTGACGAACCTCGGTTGATATTTTTGTAAAATCGGAATGTGATTGAATCTTTCGGCGTCCTTTGACGGATCCTCAAGCAAATCGGAGAGCGAGTTGCAGTTCGATCTTCGATGCCTGTGACCTGGACCTGGACATTGACATCATGAACCCCACTGCTACTGCTACTGTCGGATAGAGACAAAGACGAATCTGAACTTGACGATGCTTCCTTCACAATTCGTGCATACTTACTATTGCTATTATTGCTGTGGTTACTGCCAGTTACATTCATAGTATTGTTGACTGTGGGCACCGATGAATTGACATCATCTGTCGACCGCGATGGCGAAGCGGAGTCGGGTTTCTGTTGATTATTGCCGCCACCGATTTTTGAAGAGCACGACGTCGCAGGCTGAGCAACCGGTTTTGGCGAAAAGCACGCCTCACAAAAAATTATCTCAGGATGATTCTTTAGTGTGCACGCTTGACAGACCCAACGATCTGCGTCATTAACGTCATCATCTTCTTCGTCCCCATTCATCGTCCCATTGCCAGCCGACGGAGGATTAACTATTGTGTTTGATACCGTTGGATTGCGCGATGGTGTTCGAGAGTCGATTTCAACGAGCGGATCCCTCTGGGAATTTACATACAGTTACATTACTTAAATTAGTATGATTAACAGGACATGGTTATAGCGTACATTTGTTCCAATCATTTTTATATAGAAAACACGTAATAAAATCATCAAGCTCTAAGGCTTCGGTTTATCCATATCATTTCGACTATACAACTTTTTTCGCTTACCGGCCCTGGGTATATTTGGTCATAAAATGCGTGTCGAGTGACGTCTCCAAGTGGAGCACATCCATCCGTTTGTAGATCGACCTCGGTAATGAGACAGTGATTTTGAACAGACAACTGCCGATTGGCCTGCGTTAACTCCAACAGGGTGTCAATCTGTACAAAATATGTAGATATACAATCAGAATGAAAGGTCTTGTTTTTAGTGTTAGAATAGTATAAAATAACATCATATAGGAGTACTTCTATTTTAGCTAGTATGATTACTTTTCATAAAACAGTAATAACCGAAACAATATATAATAATATTTAACATTAACATGGTAAATTAATTAAACATCTGCTCAATTGTAAGCAGTAAACAAAAGTAAAATATTTTGCAAGTTGAAGCAACTGAGTGTGCAAATTAAAGGTACGTCTATTTTTCATACCAGAAATCGGGAGAACAATAATAATAATAATTAATAATATCACACAATTTTTCAAACGTTTTATATGTATGATCTACCTATCTACCTAAAAATACAATAATTTGTGAGGGCCAATTCATTTGCTTTTTCCTTCTTACTAGCAAAACCAGTAAATTATTTTGATTTTTAATACAAACTGTATTGAATTCACTAACATTAATCGTTAAATGCACACTTTAAACAGAACCTGATAATAAGCATCAAGACACACATAACTTATGGAATTTAATATTGAGCCGTAATATTATATATCATGTTGGAAAGAAAACTTTCGCGTGTTTTAAGAAACTTTTTTTTCGCTTTATATTATTTGCTTCTGATATACTAAAAGCGCTTCTCATTTTCAATGAGCAACTGTAACGGTATTGCGATACGAAAGCGATTTCAACTCGGAAGAACTTAATGATAAATGTTCCAAGTGAAAAAAAAAGTGGGTTGTTGACATCTGTATTATGCACTTCGTCGAAGCCGAAGTTCTGCCGAAATAGCCCGGAGCATATTTCTTATGTAAGGCCCAGAACGTTGTCACTAAAAAAGTTCTCCGGAATGGTTTGCATATTGAGTACTGTATAATAACCCCAGAAGACGTTCTCCGCTCTGGTTGATCGCCTGAGTTTTATGATGACCATTAGAAAGCACTTTTTAAGGAAAACGAAGAAAGACGAACGGTTTGTGAATTGGCCGAAAAGGTGGGTTATATGCATTAGAGGTCGGAAGAGGCGGCTCTACGAGAAAGGCCAAGACCCCAGATCCAATCAGACCTTCATGGGAAACAAGTTATGCTTCGTGTTTAGTGGAACTATGGGGACCTGGTGAACCAAGAAACGAAAATAGACAAATAATCAAAACGTTTATTCGGCCTAGTTACATCGAGTTCGCAGGTTATTCATAGGAAAGGATCTGATAAACGAATTCAGGTCATTTTGTTCTATGACAGTAGAAAGCCATACTGGAAACATCGACTTCGCATAGGGATTTTGTTGCACTTTTTATATTTTCCAAACGTTGTGCTGAGGATTTTTAATTTTTTTCCGATCATTCGACGTGGTTGATAAACTTGAAACATGATTGGATCACTTCAAGACGAAGGCCGCTCCCTTCCGGCGAGATGGCATACATTACTTAGTGGAAAGATGGAAGATGACGAAGGATACATACCATAGAAGTCACAAAATTGGAAAATTTGGTGTTTTCTGTTCAGTAAAAAAGTGTGAAAACTTTCTTTCCAAGCAAATACTCTAATACGATCTAGCTCTATAGCTACTATAGCTGTTAGTTCAATATTTAAACAAAATAATATACGAGATCACATTTACAGTTATGTTGACATTATTGTTGTTCACATTGTTGTCAAAATTTGTAATAAGGGTTTCTTCGAAGAGAAACCGCTCCTTAGCGAGAACTTCTCGGCGAAGGTTGGCTAAGCATGTCTCGTTTCTTTTGTATGCTTCTTCGAGAGCCTTTAGACGTTGCCGCTGATTTTGCAGGAGAAACTCTTCATAGCCCAGATCATTTATTATACCACTCGCCCCTCTTGCAATACTAAGAGCGGGAACGTAGGAAAGCGTATCTCCATTGTTGCCACTTCCAGCATGTGATGTAGTGTTTGTGAATTTATCCTGCAAATTTTTTAGTAGAAGTTTAAACTTAGCAGAGTAGCAATGCAATGTTTCAAGGTTGGCATAAACATGGCTACAACCATTGATATTGTTACTTTTTATACTTGCACATGATGCTAGAAAATGCGTTGCATCAAAACTAAGTTATTTGTTGTACTAAAAAAACTTATACCATATTGAATTATACTTAATCATGTTGTATGTGTTGCATAGTACGGTTTTAAACTGTTATCTGTATCTCCATGTTTTCAGTCGTGGGGTGATAAATCCAGAAAGGTTTCAATATAGTGACTGTACCACAGTCTTTTCAGGGCTTGTTGGCGGCGTGATGACCAGTGAGGGTGGTGGTTCAGGCAAAGGGAGGCTTCCCAGTTCGGATCCCTCAACTCCCATTGAGGCCTCGAAATTGGAATAAAGCATTTCGCCTCCTTCGATGCTGTCTGTATACCCAGGGCTGGCCCTACTTAATGACAAAACCCGCGTCAACTCGGAGATAAGTGCATCTCGATTACGTGGATACTGAAATTACAAACGAATGTATATTAGAATAATCTTTGCGATGAGAGTCCTGTATTTCTATAAGTTCGGCTCTAACTTTCTCTAAAATGTACCTGTGTTCGGTACAGAATGTGCAAATCTATTCCAAATTTGGCGTATTGCTAGCAGGTCATTACTATTTGTTTACCCATTGATATCTAAAAATCATGCACGACCATAGTTCAAGTGCATTCTATACGTAGCTATAAAGAGTCTTTAAATTGAATACTCAATTTACCAAAATTTGGAATAAAGATGAAAGCAAATTCAGTCACGAAATAAGATTTAGCTACAACGCCATAACGAAAGCATATTCTGAAACTTCTATCTATAAGATAGGTCTACTCCTATAACCATGTTTTGTGATCATTCACTTCGTTTGCAAAAGCAGTCGATTTGCAAAGGATGTTTCAAAAAAAAGGGAAAAGGAAAGGAGGAACTTGTGCGTGGAAATCTGAACGCATATAGCATGGCACGGTAGCCTATTGATAAAGCATCTTCCTAACAAAGACAAGATTCAGGGTTCGATGGTCAGATTTTTCGAGGCAATATTCTTAAAATATCACACCAGGTTAAACTATTCGCACCTCATCACAATCGGGCGGTAAGCCAAATTAATTGACTATCAATCCATTTTAATACTCGAAGAGATGAAGTCTCTTAACTGCAATGGCATACTTGTATAATATCATAAGAATTTCACTGTTATTCAATGACAACCTGCAGGCCAAACTCGCATACACTAATTGTCATTCTTTCATGATAATTATTACACTAACGCTAATTCCTGAACAGTTTTAAATGCTTTGTTCTGAAAATCGATAAATTTCGCTTGTCATGTAGATAAATTTTTTCTTCTAGAAATGTCTTAACTTTTCTAAAGACACGGATTTTTGTCGCGTGTCTATCGCACGACACTTAACGTGTGTACCCTTCCTTCCACCCATCGGACGGTCAAGTTCATTAACAAAGACAATACAAAACAACACTTCAAAATTTGCTTGGCGGAAAGGTACAGATCTTATTTTCTTTGACCCGGATATGAGGAGAGCATAAAAAAGACCAATAATTCAAACCGAAAATAACATCGGAGTGACGGGTATCTTAACGGCAAGTCACTGATTGGTCTAGAACTCTGACCGTGTGTGAAGCCATCTTCAGTCTTTATTTTAATTAATACCATTATACGCGTCACATATTAGATTAGCCGTTGGGGTAACTTTTCCTTCAAGGAAATATTAATTTAGGCTCCATAGACATCATTCCCATGACACTGCTTTATGACGAAAAATCAAACGCAGTGTATCGTTAGGAGTTAGGCGTTAGGTGATCGCAAAATACAATGCCTCAGTTATAAAGGTATTTGCGTAACTTTCTCATTTACCGTTAAATATTATCTGGCTACGTCGAATTGTCAATAGAGTTTGCTTGTTAAAGCATTAACTAATCTTACGTTAAAGCTTGTTCATGAGAACGAACTGTACGGTCACTTCAGAGGACCCTATCTTCGGCATGTGTTTAAATTACGATAATAGCTTTGTTCTCCTTTTATGCATGAGCATATTCGCCCCCGGGTTTATTACTGGATGTGTCCAATCAGTAGCAGCAGATTGCAAGCGCTTCCTACCTACACATTCACTACTGCAATGACTAGGTCTAGTATATTGCAAAAGGCACTCCAAAATATACACAAGAAATTTACTGACGATTAGGAGAATACACCAGGATTTGCAACAAGATTCCGTTTATTTAATTGTTCATATTAATTTTAGCCATTCCCGTATTTCTATCGAAATTGTGCGCACAAAGCTTGTTTCCCTACTGCTTGGTTTCCTGAAACCTATTTCAGTTTTCAACGATTTCAGAATCTTCACTCGTGAAATCCTTATGGTCGCTGTACAGTGTCGATACTATCAGGTAATAACTTAGCTATCTATTTATAACTCACCAAGTTGACATGAGCTTGCACAGTTTCCGCAGGCAATTCCGAAAAACGATGCAGCATTTCTGTCAGTAGACCTTCCCGGCTGTCCATCTTTTCCTTCGTTTTTGTATGATGTCCAGAAAAAACAGCGGTAGCCGAAATCACAAACTCGAACCACAATCCCAAAAACGAAGAACACTCAGCAAGCTCTCAGACATTTATCGATCTAGTGTTTGGACATATTTTAGCTATAATATTCCACACCTAGAGAATGGCGCCTTTTCAGTCTCACGAGACGTACTGTCAATATTAAAGAGCACTAACAGTAATACATCGATCACTAACAGAACAACTGCACCCGTCGAAGCCAAGATCAACACGTACACCGAAACTCATGTTGCACGACCATTGCGCACCGACGTTGCATAGAAATAGATAGGGATATGAATCGATTAGCTGTAAGATGGCCAACAACACGGACAAAAACACTAATATCACGTTATTCTGCTACTCTGTTCCGTATTTTTTGGTACCTCCAACGATAACAACAGCACAAATGTTTTGATATTTTTCACCTAGTATCTGACGATCAGCTGCGAGAAAACGTTCTGTGTCCTGAATGACGCTCGGCTGTTGGTTAGTTGGGGAGTAAGTATGTGAGCAGGCAACAATGACGACCAACAAGGACCTCCAGAACCATCGTCTCGGTCTCTGTAATTAAGCAATCACTGTTGTGGATACACAACGCACACAAAAGCGAAAGATGAAAACGGTTTCTAGCAGTCGGACAACGGAGAGGCAAATGAAGACAACTAATAATAATAACGATGATAGTAGCCATACTACTGACTACCGGTGTGGGAAGCACTAGTCGTCTGCTACGATTCAGGAGCGCATTAAATGGTTTAAATAGCGGCAAGAAGTTAGTCCACTGTCGTTAATATATATCTGTGACAGTCGGAAGGATAGTTTTAGCAAATTCTAACGACGAACACTTTTGATTCAATGTTTTTTTCCCACCTTACTCGGCTTGATATTAGGAGTCCACACAAACGAGCAGCTAGCTAAAATTCGACGGTTCTTTTCGTCGTCCTTTGCTACGATGAACATACGGAACATCGTCTCTTATTTTTTAACTTTTATTTAATCATCATGTTTGCTTGGATTTAAAGGATTAGTGGATTTAGTATCCAACGTTGATTCTACACGAATTTACTTTCATCTCGACTGGTCTTGGAAGCACAATTCAGAAGACCTCTTTGCCTCAATCAAGGTTCAAATCAGTGATTGAGTCAGTATTATATTACTGTTATTTTTTTTTGATGCATTTGCCGCACTAAAATAAATTGTACTAAAATAAAGTTGTATAAAGAAGGGGATCAGTGCGACGTAAAGGTTCAATAATCAAAGTCGCGACAAGGTAGTAATCATACCGACAGCAATGGACGATGCACTGCATGCGTCGGCAGATGTCTCCTGGATCATGCCAATCCGCTACCATGAGCCTCATAAGCGATTGCGTCCATAGAGCTCGGCACACGACAATAAATTTGGCAGCTTAACTTAGTTGATCTTTTTCGACCATAATGCGTAATCACACCGGCCAGGGAAAAAGTAGAGTAGATTGGCACAGAATTATTTTCAAGCCAATGAATTAATTGTTTGTAAGCTAGGCTTTCGTACAAATCGAACCGCTTTTATAGATCCTTATAAAAAAAATGGCGAAAAAGTTGACAGATTTTCTTAGTAATGGTGCGGAGTTTACAAACGCGCATTTTATTCTGCATATGCCGATACATACCATAGGTTATGAGTAATTAAATGACAGAAGCTGAAATGCACATGTTATGTTCAATACCTAATCCAGGAACTTAAGCCGCCGCTGATTGCGCCAGAGATGACGAAAGGGTGACTATTCCAGTCAGCCTTGTAAATGTATGATAAACCACTTTCTAAAATATCCTGTCTGAATAAGGATTTACATGGTCGTATCTTAGCTATTTGAAACGTCACCGGTCCTCTCGCAAAAGTTATCTTCAATTTTTACTAAAAAGACAACAGTGTGCTTTGCAAAGGAGAGTTCCTTTAACAACGAAAGACGCTCTTTCGAGTCACATGAGAATCAGAAATAAATAATTATCCAGAATAGTTTAGCGGGTAGAGGAAGTCAAGTGGTTTCTAAACCGTTTCTGGCGACATAGAAAGAGTTTGTTATGCCTTAAATGCGCATTCCTTTGTTGTTTCTTCTCGGTGGCTGTGTACTTATAATTTACATTACATACTTAATCTCGTCATTAATGGCTTATTTAAGAGAATTAACTGTGGACTTACGCGAAATTACGCCACCTGTCACTCCCTTCAAAGCATGGAAACAGTTTGTATTACACGAAGCCAGATTTGGAAATTTGGTAGGCTGAAGCTATTTTCCCAGATCCAGATTGTGATGAAAGCGTGATCGTCGAGTAATCATTCTGCGTGTGTATGATTGTGGCGCTACTTATGCATAAGGCTCTGGGAAATTCGAAATATCTGACAGAATTGACCATTTCCTTTTTAGGTAATATCTTGTAATAACAGTTGGCCCTGATACGGAGTGCAAGCAATCGCATCTACTTACGTTTGAATTAATCGGACATTGTCATCAAAGTCGCTTTCCTCCCTGTTTGAAACCATTCTTTCGCTTGATCCCTCTGTGGTCGGTGGACTAATAATAGTCACGCAAATAGCCTGAACACACACGCACACACATACAGATGTTTCCATCTGCGTTGGAATCAATTGGCGAGGAGCGAATTCATCTTGGTTGCATAACAATTTCATAACAAATACGCTAGAAAGTCTGCATTGTCTATGGTTTTATGTTGATCAAAAACTTTTGTGATCACAACAACTTGATATTCGGTTTAGGTCATTTGGTCTAAGTTTTTTCCTTCATGGTCTTCAACCTGCCAAGTTTCGTTCTTACAGTGCTTCCTCAATTAGCAAAACGTTATTTCGCCTATCAATTATAGATGGATTCCATGAGCTACTCAGAGGAAACTACGCACCATTAGCCAACATTAATACGTTAGAAAACGGTAATATACGATTAAAGATTGGTTTAAAGTTAAAATTAAACTAATTTCTAATCAGAGCCCAAAAATACGATGCCTCGGGTTTCGTAGGTGAGAATGACACAGCACGGGACAAATACTTTAGCAGTGAAGCCTGAGTTATGTATTAGCCCTTAATTTTCTTGATCCTACGACTATAAACTAATTGAACCTTATGGACGGATAATGAGGTTAGAGGTACTACGAACCGGCGTTGATGTTTTTTGCCCGTCGGACTCCGGATAAGTTGATTCAGTTAATTCGACGAAACTGATTAAGGAACTACAACATTCAAGACCACTCGATCGTATTTTCTATACTGATACTGAGAGCTGTTTCATCGTTCGAAACCATTATGCTGCCTATTAGTATAGGATCTGTCCTTCTTTGTTCCTCTATATGCATCGAGAATTACCAAGTGCTTTTAGGATAACGGATTTATTCATCCAGACACCTACTCCGATCTTCCGATATAAACTCGTTTGTGGTTGACTCCTAATCCCCGACAATTTCCCGTGCGTGCAAACTCCTACAGGGCGATTTGTGAAGAGAATTATACTAATCTAGTAGTGATGAAGCACAAAGCATTTGGTAATGAGTTACTGAATGTAAATGTCGTTGAAGGTAAGACCGTAGTGGTACAAGTAGACTACAATCTTGCTTCATGTGTCTGCTATGATCACAAACTCGCAGTTATTATATCTGTTTATACTCAAGTTGTCTCAAGTGTTCATTGCCTGGCAATAATTGTCCTAAACCATGTATTCAACAAATTGTAAATGAGGAAATCATAGGGAAACTACAGTGTCGCTGTCATCGTTATGATTTAAAGGTTGCGCTCAAAGATCTTAAAAACCAAATTGCAACTTCTCTCAGAAACCTAATAACATGTAATATGGACTTCAAATCTCTATCAGTTGAAGCAATCGATTTGGAGTTTCATCTCTCAGCTGCATTTTCGATCCAGTCAATAACTGATAAACTGTAGAAACAAATAGAAAAATGATCATGAAAAATATGAGCAGTCTCAGAATAGTTCCCTGGTACGGAGAATTTCGTGTAATTTTAATTCGAATGTATTGAATGCCGAACAATCGTGCTTCTACGTCGGTGTCCATTGAGGGAGCTACTATTTATTTAACCTTACCAGATGACTACATGAATCTGATTGTCAAAAGTGTGGAGAAGCTACGACAGCCCAAAGAATAGATGACGGCATTAGTTTAACGCCCGCGATTTTGACCACTTAGCCACATATCTCGGCAGAATACCGAAAATTTAAGCGATTCTGACACTAAAACATTATAAACCAAACGGTATTCTATTTTTTTTCTAATTTGAGTTTAGTTGAATCATTCGACAGAACTTACTCGTTTAAGCACACTTTACAAATTCCCAAATAATATGAATTAAGGAAAATATACTGGAAGTTTTCTTTAAGCGATATGCGATTACAATACAGTGCACGAATATTCATCGCAATATAATATAGTAAGTTACTTCGATGCATAGTATATTTAGAGTTTTTATATAGTATGTTAGAATTAAGACCTCCAAGAATTAATGATCGAGTGAAGAGATGGGAACTTGTCGCCTCGAAGCAGCCGCAATAGATAGGTTAAAATATCTAATGTAGGTCGTAATGTAAAAACTTTGCAACTGAGAGCAGCTCCTAAGAAATCGAAACTTTGTAAATTAAACATAATTCATAATGTTTATGCTTCGAATAATTATGGTATTTACGTTGGGTTTAAACAATTTCTCCACACGACTAAAAAGTTCTTAGGAAACTCTTAGTAAAATAGCTTGCCCTCAAACAAATAAATAAAACCAATTTATACACAAATTTTTAGATTTTTTTCCTCATTGCTATAAATCGCTGTCTGCTGACTGCAGCGATCTGTTCGCGGTACACCGCCCTCTCCAGCCCTTTCCTCCTCAACTCAACGATGCCTTTGTTGATATCGTCGGGTTGGTCCTGTGTTGATGGTAAAACCCTCTCCCAACTTGTCGCTATCGGCTGATCCACTGTTTTGTAAAAATGAGAAGATCTAATCATTTAGGCCGTTCGAAAGTTCTATCCGATTGAGGAGATCATTCGTCTGAGTGGGGCGCTTATTCGTATACAATTGAGCGGCTGTGCATATGCTTGTGATTCCAGAAAAAATTTGGAAGTATCCTACTTCTTTGAAAGGGCGTTGATCGAATCACAGGTTCGTCACATTCGATTTCTCTGTACTTCTTCGTGGTAAGAAAGTGCGAAACATTACTGGCCGTATCTGGAAAAGATGACCCTACATTCAAACGAGCATATATCATTTTACCTGTTTTAATCTCGCAAATCCTATGTCGAAGAAGAAGAGATATGTCGAAGAAAATTATGTGTATTAACTGTTCTTCTAATGATATAAGTGCAAATATAAAAATAAATTGTACAGCGCAAAGTGCTCGTGAATGCTTAACAAGCTTAGATTCGTTATCGTTATGTTACTTATAGTGTCCGTAGGCTATGGTTAGCCCCCGTGATAGCTTCGTAAGTAAGCTATGTGGCTGCTAATCTTAGGGATACGTTGTAATCTACGTTCGAGGTGAACAGAGCTCATTTTGTACTGGGACCCAACCAGTCGTCTAATGGAATGCCTGACGGCGATACCGGACGTAAAACTCGAAAACTAGCTACAATATAGTAGCTGCTCCGAACGATGGAGCAGTGAGCTTTTTACTGGTGTTGGGGATGCCGCTGAGAGAGTTAACGTGAACGAGTGGATTCAAAGCATATGATGCCCAGCTTGTGCATTCGAATGTCTACGATTTCACCTTCTCGGATATGTTACTTACTGTTAGAGACCGTCGATTAATCTACTTGGCTATCTTTAATTGTGTCTTCATCTGTTTATTTTATTAGCATCGTTCCTTAATGCGAGCTGCTAGAGACGTTCTATCATGGCATGTGGTGTGCCACTCATTTTGACAACCGACCGAATTTATTGTGAAGAATGGCATCTCCTTTTACCTCTTTCCATTTCATTAACGTTATCGCACCGACAGAGTGATAACGGTAACCAAACGTAAACTAACATCTATGGGTTACCCTCTAGATTAAATTCACCAAAATTTGAAGTGCGGTTTAGAGTAACTTTAAGTTGTTTGTCCTTTCCGTCGTTCCGTGATTATTAGAGCTGAGCCACATGTACGTGTTAGAGCGGACTAAATATTTTGAGCTTACGGGGCTGAAATCTTGACATTAGTAGAGCTGTCATGAAACGAATAGAACATTATACCGGGCCTCCCCGTTTCGTACAGCAAGTTATAGTTAAAAAAAAATGTTTTTCAGTTTTCAGGCCGTTAGGCATTACTTAGGACAAGACAATTTTGTACAGCACGAAATCATAGTTGTAAGGTTCTTATTTCAAATAGCATTTTTTTCGGCAGTAGGCAAATCGCGGGAAGTAATCACAGGTCGAGACAGTAAGTGAGCTTCGAAGCTGTATCAGAACTGATATAAATTTGCGAATATACATTAGGTCATTTAAGTTTACATGTGTTGTTACAAGCTTTAACTAAAGACTATACCTTGGGAAACTGTAAACGTAGTAGAAGTTAAATTTTATTCATAATTTATAGAAGTTTGGACACTCAAATAAGACAAATCTTACTGTTTAAAGTTAAAAAAAAGTGTAGTTTTTTTTTTTCTTTTTTTGAAGCTCCGTTCTTAACAAATGTACTAAACTTTGCGTGTGGTCATTAATGTTACAGAGAGTTATGTTTCAGTACGTAGATATTAGCAGTGCCATTTGAAGTGATACTCAAATGCAGTACCAGACGTAAAAATAAATTTATATATATATATAAATGACTTGTCCGGAACAACATATCCAGTATTCTTCAGTAAGAAATTTTCGTATAAAATGTGTATCGATATTTGAATTTTTAAATATCTTTAAAAAAAATTTCAGCTTTGAATCACGGCGCAGTGCTATACCACTAGGCATCCGATTGTGGAAATCAAGCCCATGCGTGCCGAAACTGAAAACAAAAAACACCATTTTTTGATCGTTTAGCAGCGCTACCTCTACGATAATTCTAAAAGAAATTGACATTAGGAAGACATGTGGTCCAAGGAAGTTTGAAAGATCGAGTTATTGTCGTTTCTAAATTTCTAATTCTAAACAGGTTAGACGAATTAAAAAATTGATGGTCGTCACGCTCTGAAATAAATAGTTATGGTGCTTTATTTATGATGCTATCAGAATAGCATTCCAAGGTACAATGATCAGTTGAAGCTAACACTAATAAAACTGATAATAATATTCTTGATCGTTCTAAGTTTATGATCGGTAATTCTGTTATATCATGTACAATCTATTCACCTGAACCTTTCTAGAGCATTGAAACAAATCGCTGCTTTATTTTTCGCCACGGACCGAAACTGCATGCACACGTAGAGTCACGCTGATGGTTTTTATGCGAAATTAACATATTGAACTGCGGCACTGCTAACGTCGTGTAGTTGTAAATCAAAAAAATGAAAGAAGGAACTATTCAATAGAAAGGTACAAATTGAACTTTTTTTTCTGTAATAAAAGGTTAAATACACATTGTCCTAGGTCGGTAGTTGTTTAACGACTACAAGAAAGATTGCAACGTAAAACCTAGTTAGGATGCAGAACTCCGAGCGAATATGTCGCTTAAGTAAACAGATACACACTTGATTTTCGAGGCAGACCAGTGAGTCAATCTGAGCCGACGGCCGGTAACTCACTGTAAGATCAAAGTAAGCACTGATCGCGAGCATTTGGCTTGTAGAAGCCCATATGGGTGGAGAGGGGTCAGTAGACGTTTAACGTGGCAAACCCAGATTAGGATAGGCAACCAAACATTAGAGCGTCAGGCTTACTAGGAAGCTTCCTATCAGTCTCCCTCACCCATCTGAGAAACTCTGAGACGGGTTTTGCTTATTTCATGGTATGGACTTCTTGTGTGAATAGGTTTCTAGCACCGGGAACTAGTGAATATAACAATGGCCATAGAGTAATAGTAGCGTCTGTTGCCAGATAGCTGCCGACTGAGCCACATTGTAAAGGCGTGGTCTAGATGTGTTAAGGTGTGTATGTGATTAGGTTAAAATCGAGTGTATCTAATTTATTTTTACATTTGTGGAGTTAAAAACATGGTACTTTATGATGCCGATGATTACTTTATGATGCAAACTAGATGTCGTTCATTCTATTTTTTTTTTGGAGTGTTTTGATGTTTAATATGCAACTTCGCGACATAATAGCAACCGGCATAGTATGAACTTGCTGTCACGTGTTTTTTTTTTTTATTAGTGCGGTTGGTTTTAAGCGCCGTGTGTGCAGCTATAATATAAACAAATTTCAGAGTCGCCCTGAAGTAGTATTAAGGACCGAAATTTAAGATGAGCAAAGATAATTATTAAAACGAAGTAATTACAGTTCGGTAGATGTATCTTTCAATTTCAAAGGAGGATATCAATATAGGAGTTATGGAAGACAGAAACTAACGCCAGTTGAAAAATGATAATGAACCTTGAACTAACGAAACAAAGACAATCTAAGATTTGAAGGCTGATATTCACAAATACTGTTATCGATGCTATTAAATCAACATATGATTTTATACAAGTACGTCTCGATTGTTGGTTTGTTATTACATTTACTATGAAAGTGAGTGAAAGTAAGCACATTGAAAGTCATAGAATTCAACGAAGTAATCGCTCATATAATCAACAATAGTATCGGACATACGCGATAGACATGTTGCGTTAAATAGGAATGCTATTTAAACGTTAATAAAACTAAAGTGCTCGTTAGTACAAAGAGTGTTCATAGAAGGCATATCAAAGGGTTTGCGTTTGTTTAAAGTTAAAAATTTAACTTAAATTTACTCGAATAGAGACTAATAGCAATATTTGTACATATTTAAGGTATAATGGGTAAGCACAAAAACAGGAATAGGTCGGCCACGATCACAAACCCGGAGACTGCGGAACTCATCAGGGTGATAGACAAGATTTTTGAGCGTAAGTTTAGTATAACATGCTCATGGCTGAGAGGACCATTTACTTAATTTAATTTTCGCATCAACCAGGAGCGCAATTCTTGTTTTCGCTAAATTAAATAACTATGTTTGGTAATAAATCTGGTCTTGTCGCGTTACGGTAACACAAATATCAGTCAGTTTGCTAATGTGAAGTTTTAGAAAACAAATTTACTAGGAATAGGTTATAGTACCGTTTATGTGTTATGCTTTGTTGGGACGCAAGCGCATATATTCTCTTTAGAGACTTTAGCAGCACATAGTAATTTGACAAGTGTGTTTATCAAAAATTAAGATAATTAATCGTATCTTTTTAAGAACTCGAGCTTGAAATCTTAGCAGCAGAACTAATTAGAATCGTGGTTCTTTCTTCAGTGACCGTGCAGGATGTCAATGAATTATCTCGTGATCTTCTTGAAAATTTTGGCCGGATCAGAACTCTTGTGGAACGTGCGCGATGCCTCGAAAAAAAATTCGATGAAGTACCGGTACGTTCAGAAACTGCAATGCGGGAGTTGGTTGATTGGGGAATTCGTCGCGGCTGTTTTGTACGAGGAATCCAACTGCGGCGCTTAAAGGAATCAACATTGGACGAGTATGGAGTGTTCTGTACGGACTCGCTCCAGGTAAGAGCTGACAAGGCGAGGCAATCTGCAGTCGAAATGAGGTCATCCACTTATTTAAAATCAATTTTCCGTTTTTAACGATGCTCCAAAAGCTCTTTCGTCTGGTTTTTACTCGCTCTCGTAAAAAAAGCCAGTATGATTCCAATCTAAAGGACAGTTTGGTTGGCGGTCACTGCACATTTGATTAATAGTTTTCAGAATCAATTGAAGTTTCAGTCGCTTCTGGACGTTATCTATTGTGATATGATTTCTTTTAGGATTCTGACATCTTCTTGTCGGTGCCATTGGACCTGATGCTTACGTCGGACCATGCGCTTGAGCGAAGTGGTTCCTTGTCACCTCTATTAAGAAATGATGCGATTTGCTCTCACATGTCAAACGTCTGCCTTTCGCTTTTACTGCTTAACGAGCTCGCTAAAAACGAACAGGTAACAGAAAATAACTGAGGTGATGAAGTCCATTTTTATTAATATTAAGACTATATTGCATTAATGGACGAAGTGTACTATACGAAAGCTCTCTAGTAGAAAAAACTGTATTAACGTTTTCGTCCCGTTGTATCAGGAGGACGTTGGATCATTTATATATCTAGAAAATAGATTTGGCATCGATGATTTACGGACGAAATTTAGTGAACGAAAATGTTTTTGGTAATGTTGATGTAACGTATTTCAGAGTTTTTGGCATAAATATATTTCCTGCCTACCAGCGCATTATTCAACGATCTTATACTTTAACGAGGATGAAATGCGTCTTCTTAGCGGATCGGCTACGCTTGGTGAGAAAGCAGACACTTATTTTAAATGATTATATATTTTTTTTTGCTAGGTGCACATTGCCGATGCAAATCATAGGAAATACTTTGTTTAAATCACCGCCTAAACTGTTCGCTAAAAGGGTATGAAGGTTTGAGTTGCATTTCCCCTTAAATCCTAAGTATGCTCTAGTTCTGCTGACATTTTGATGTTCAGCATTTGATTAGCTGGGACACGTTTAAATGTTTTCAAGGGAATTTTCATATTACGACTCACGCAGTTGTCTTGAGTTCAATTATCCGATAACGAATGATTCATTCCACAGAAGTTCTACAAATTTCGAAGTTAGTTGCCGCTGTGGGCATATTTGGCATTATTATAATGTTATACAGTGTAATGAAAATCACTTATTATTATAGAAGATCGTTGATTTATAGTGCTGGACGTAAGGTATCTGAGTTTTTAGAGCCTCTTTATTACAGTGTGACCAAAAGTAATTTTTTTCTTGTCTCTCTCTCTCTTATATACTCCCACAGAGGAGGCATGTAAGCTGTATCGGTCGATTGCACGTCAGTACGCGTATTTCAAAAAGAAGTTTCTTACGGAACCGAAATGGAGAGCGCTGCCGGCTATGAAAATATTCACATATGAGGCGTACAGGTTAGTTATTTCTGCACGAAACGATACACACTTTCAGATGCTTTCCAACTTTCTATCGGTACTAGTACTTTTATTGTCCCAAACCTACCGGTCGGTAGAACATGCTTTTAATATTAGCCTCGTAAGGTAAATCTAATAGTCTGAAGATATATAGAATTTTAACGGATTTATGCATTTACTGTTAACTAATTGTAAGTCGAACTGGTTTAACTGCATTGGCTAGGCAGAATAGAAGGTCGTGTTAATTATGATGGCCTGATGAATAGATTTTATAACGCAGCATTCTATAAAGGGCGATATTGTTGACAGCATAGAAAATACGCACACAAAAAGCTCTGTAATGTAAGAAAGGAAATCTTTAGCACCTAATAGAGCTATAAATGGTAGGCTCGTGGCCTTGGCGAGTATAGCGAAGAAATTTATTACATATGTTATATTTTACAGCTGCAAACTCCATGTAGCTGGTTTGTGCTATTTATGTGGAATAAAAGCTAATAAATTAACCGCAGCATATTGTTTACCTGCTTATCTATCATTAGATTTTTTAACCATTTTATTCTTTTTATTAGAATCGAGCTATACTCTTGTATAAATAGTGTATATTGTGTTTGATTTATATTCGTGTATGTTATAAATTTGCACCTCTAGTTATGTCGTCTGTGATTTCGCATTAATTTTTCCGCATGTAACTCCTTCCCTAGTTTCCTAGCGCAATATGAGAATATAATTTTGTTGTTTTTATAGCACATAACCTATGTAATGGCGACATGCTTTTGTAAATCTTCCTTCAGATAGTGGTTGAAGTGACTGCAGGAATCATTATACATATTTGGGCTTAGGAAAGTTACGCTTTGTTGAAAAACTACACTATATTAAGGCTATTTGTTTAAATTTATTTATAATAGCAGTAATTATCATTGGCATATGTTTTACTTTGTTCCGTGTTAGTAGGGTTTTAATTTAAGTTTGGCGTAGGTGTAGCATTCCTTTAATAAGTAACATGGGACCAAGTTATTTCGACTTCTTTTCTGCCTTATTATACAGGGCTTTAGGTGGGTTGACTTTATTGATGCTGAAATTGTGATACATTACTTTGAATGTCAAGTCTTCAAGTATTCAATATGGGGATTAATAGGTAATAATTGCGGGCAAATTGTTGACCGAGTAGTTGTTTCCCCGGTTCTACCATAAATATGTAAGTTTATATAACACTAGACTAGATTTTTGCAATGAATCCCATATTTGAATCGATCGTGGTCTTGGTTGGCTCTATAGTACACCCGTAACAACGTAATGATAAAATATTTATTAATTTTATGCTATTGGGTTGGCGCATAGAGAGTGGCCGTTGCGTCTGTTGTTTCGCTCCTCTAACTTCTCATTTGCCGATAGTCATGAGTTATATACCGATAAAAAGCTCTTGCTCTGTTTCGTTTATGAGATAATATTACATTGATATTACGCTTCGAAGATGCGTGTGTGTTTTTCCGTTATTTACCACAGTCAAACGTACAACCGAAACAACCCAATAGGATGGACTTGACGTGTTTAGTAGTTGAGAGTAGTACCTCAAGGTAACAGTCTAAGTTCAAAGGAGCCATTTTTGACGTAGGATACGCACAGTACTCTACTTTTCAAGTTCGACAACCATTCGCTTTAGACATTTTTGAAGAAAGGTAATTATCATATGATTTTTCTACTAGCTATGAAGTATACACCATATGCGGATCAAATATTCTAAGTTACTTCCGCTGCTGTTTGATATTGAAAGTTAGTCGTCGCCACAGCTTCACTTATTCTTCGTCTCATCCAACTCACCTTTGGAGCCCGAAGTCGGGTGTTAGTTTTGTAATTTGAGCAAAACGGTGATAATCGCTACTTTGTTGAGCGAATTATAACTCTTATCTATGAACAAGTGAGGAAGGGAAAGCCGATAAACAAAACTAGTCACTAGTTAAGCACACTAAGCCAATGAAAGTGCGTTAAAATGAATCTGTAAACGAAGTGACCTCTATTTACAAAAATAACATTCATGCCACGCTTGACGTATGTACCTTTCTCAGATTTGATCTGGCTTAGTGAAGTTACCGAGAGCGAGTATGTATTTGCTTGTTTGTCCTCCTTATTCTGCGCATTCATTATGCATATGGTTATATACCAAGCATCTTCGAGCCAAGTAACCGCTGATGATCTTGTTTAATCATTTGGCTTTAAATGTAAATGATGGAGGCTCATAGTGGGAGCAATCCTTTGTGTCCGTATGAATAGGTGCTTTCTCCGTAACCGTAGCTACTTGACGCCTCTGAAGCGGCATCGTGAATAAGATCTTCTACCGCTCGCCGGCGAAGTAAACGGGCATTTTTCGCACGTCTCCGGCATACAGCCAGAAGTGTCGCAAAGAATACTGCCGCACCAGTTATTAATGATGCGGACATGAGGAGTGTAGTTCGAGCCCTCGTAGAGATTGGCTGTTTCCTATTTCGAGGAGTCGGAGGCGTTCCTCGATGTATAAGATCGGCGTCGTAATCGATCTCTGGAATGGCTGGAACCACTGGGGGCGGGGGAACAGGTGGTGCTCGTGGCTGAACTATAGTTATATGCCGATCTAGCCTTCCAAATCTGGGTTTTTCTCCTTCAATTTGAGGCCTACTTTCGTTTGAAGGGGAGGAATACTCAGACACTGGTCCAATCGATGGCGACGCCAGAGGACGTAACTTTGGGCGACGATGATCGAGCTTAATATTGCTCCCACTGTACGAAAAATTGGTAGCATTTGTGAGAGAGGCAAATACATTGAACTTCCTAGACGGACCATTAAACGGGTCGCGCGTAGATGCCACCATAGGTAATGGTCTTTTAGTGAAAAGGTTCACTTTGGCGATATTAGGTGTTGGTGTGAACGTATCACTGCTGGGATTTGGAGGTGGAGTGTTTGCTTGAGGGTTAGGTGTCATTACTTCAGTTTCTGAGGCTTTTTCAGCCCTTGTTTCATCGTTCTTCGTGCCCAGCGGACCCCAAGGGAAGTTCAACAAGTTAGCAGAGGGATCGCCGTTGCTGAAGAGGCTAGGGATGCTATTCACCAGAAAACCGGCTGGTGCAGGAGCCATAACAAGAGGACTCGAAACGGTTGCTATGGTTGTCGGCTTATTTGTCGTTTGTGGATACTTAGTGCCGGGCTGTGTTCCATGTGGTGACGACGACGATGATGGTGACACCGTTGATGTTCTAGCAGGCGCATCATGACCATTAGAGACGGCATTCACAGCGGTGTCTATCATTTTGGGATGTCTAACTGATTTTATTTTATTATACATCTCGGACTGGCTACCTGGTCGGAATTTTAATTGAAATAGGCCTTCAAGACCGAGTACAAAATCATTACGGGGAATTGCGGGTGTCTTACGAAACGGGTCGATTATTGGTCTTTCCGGCTCGCTGGGTTTCGTTATAGGCAATGAATTACTTGAACTAGATTCGACTTCAGGAGAAATTAATTGCGTTGTTGCTAATGCATCTGTACTTTTCCGGACTATATCGTAGGATATACTTGAATTAATTGTCACAAAGCGACTTAGATTGCTTGATGCAGGAGTTCCAGCTTGGTCAAAACTGATGGAGGTCTTCTTAAAATCGCCGTTTATATCGCTTATAAGTGCTTCTGGAGTTCTTTCTGTAGTTCTATTAGATGTTGGTAATTGCACCTCAGATTTTCCAGTGGTCATTTCTGCTAATGCTAATTCAGTCTCTGTTTCATAATGTAGTCGTTCCGAACTGTTTAGTGAAGTGTTTGCTTCGGTCATTGCGATTGTCTGCGCCACCGTTTTGGCTAGTTTATCCGCTAGGACAACTGCAAGCTTTATCTGTGGGGCTGTTGTTTCTGTAATTGCTATAGTTGTCGCTGGCTCCGTAGATTCGTTAATTGTCGACGGCTCGGTTGTTATTTCGGAGTTGGCTTTTTGTTCGGTCAAAACATGTTCTGCATTACTGTTACGTGGGGTGCTTTGGATGTTCTCATTCGAGTCGTATAGCTCAAAGATTTCCCTAGGTAGGTTTTTTGTAGATGATACTGTTGTGGCATATCCATCAGCTGTACCAAAACTTGGCCCAGTATCAATTTCGCTGCTTTGGTTTCGTGTACTTTTCATCAGCGCAGAATCAGAAGTGATATCGACTTCTGTATTGTTATCATTGTAAGTGGGGAAATCGCCAATTTCATGATTTTTAGTCGTGATGGCCCCGGTCGTATTTTTTTCCACGTAGTCATTTTCGAATTCTTTATGATGAGTGTTAGTTTGATTTGATTGTGAATCCTTAATATTTTCCAGAGGTTGTTGCAAAGTTGGTTCGTCTATAGCCCCATCTGTAGATAAAGTTGTCACTTCATCTGCATGATAATTTTTTTTTTCGACGTTAGCTTTTGTTAGTTTAGGAGCGGTAATATCAGGTTTGCTTGTTACAAATGTTGTTGTGACGCTAGGGCCTCTCTTTTCCATTGTTTCTTCTAAACAACATTCCGTCTTTTCCTCTTCGTCAGTCTGGAAATGGCTTTGAGTGATGGTTGCATCTGGAGGTAGAAGTTCATGTGAGGGAGTCCTAGCCTCGATGTCGTCACTCAGTGCCCCGTCGTCAGGAAAATATTCTTGGGACATTGTTAACTCCTTGTTTGCAATTATCGGCGTGACAGTTGCTTTATTTAGGTCACGTTCATCCTCCTTCTCGGTACGTTCCAGATCCTGCAAGTTTGAACCGTACTTTTTAACTAAGTGTTCTGCAAGTACATCAGCGGTGATTTTTGTCTATGTAGTCATAAACTATTTGTATTTAAGTACTCGAGAAATAATTTTTTAACAATAGAATGCGTCTTGTAAATTCACCGTCATAGTTAATTACAGGTTACATAGTTGATATAGAAATATTGTTACGTAAATTCGTTAAATCATGGCAAAAATTACTGGAGAATTTTCGTGAGCTTTCATGTACGCCACGTCGTCCAGATGATTTTATGTTACCATTACTATGCTGTGCGTTTATTCAAAATAAATTTATATGATTTGACCATTTGCAATATTCTTTGACTACATTATCTATAAAGCTAGCTTTAAAAGGTGCGAAAAAATCCATGGGTCACATTATCCAGAATGCGAAAAGCTGCTCCTCAATTTTGATAAATCGTACAAACCTCATGGTTTGGTGATTGACTTGTCCGTGATTTATCTGTTGCTGAAACGTAATGAAACGCGTGAGCTGATTGCCCCGATGTCTGAGTCGGCGCTATTGGTAACGGCACCTGGAATAGGGCAAAGTGAAGCGGCTAGCTTGGTAATCGAGCAGACGCGCGTGCTGACATTGTCTAGCCGTAGCGGAATGAACGCACTTAAATACACCACAATTGTAAATTCAGCTCACTTGATTATTATACATGTGCTTAATATTCTATAAAGTCGAAATGGCTTAGACAGTTCATGAAGTGTCATACCTGACTATAATGTAAGCTAGCAGACGGCACCTGGGTGCCTGAACCAGCAATACCATGGTTGATTTTTAGGTATGCCACGCCGTTGACAACTTCACGACCTACCCAAATAGAGAGAATCACATCACTATTATCTTTACTTGCTCCAGCACAGAGGTTTATATATGATCTGAAGAGAAAGGAATTTATGTCCGACCTAACTGGATGGAACCGTACAAGGTTGTCAAATAACCAACGAGCTACAAAATGTTTTGCGGATGAAACCGATTTAGAGCATTCAGAAGCGTAATCAAGCAACAAGGACGAAGTGCAGCTAACGGCACAAACAAAGCATTAACAAGGGAAAGGTTCCAACACAACAAGTGATGCATCTACACACAGTTTATGACGTACTATACTGAACGACATGTTTTCCAAATCAAAGTAAGAAGCTATAGTACAAAAAGTGAAAAAACGTTCATAATGTAACTAACTTTACCCAAATGATCAGCGCCCCGCCTTTCAGCAGTCTGTGCTTCTTCGAGAATCTCCTTTCCCGCTGTCCAATAAGGTGCATTACGTTCTTCTGTGAAAGAAACCGTATACAGTAGTATCAGCAAACCTGACAGCGAAAAGATACTATATGATATGTAATATTGCCGTAACATCTCGTCACGGCTGGAATTCGTTATTGATGACGTCCTTATTGCATTGAACACAAATGGACTGATACGCTATCGATGAATTTTACTTCATTACGTGTGCGGGAACCACTGAAATAACGTTGCTTGTATGCACCACGAATATTTGGTTATCTGGTATAGTACTGCCGGGTACAACAGCGTGAACAGCCAACGGAATACCTGCTCTGTACCATACTTTGTTTGCGTTTAGGATAGGATGGCCTTTCAAGATAAAAGGAACAAGTCGATATAGCATAACGGTGGCTAATCTGTCAGCGAAGGGATCAAAATGCTTCTACTCTTTTTTTGCTATCGTAAGATTATTCTATCTCCCTATATTTCAAGTCTCACGTCCGGTATCGCCGGTGTGTCTATGCTCGGATTCAAGCCTGGATCATAACGTATCCCTAAGACTAACAGGCATATATGTTACCCACATGGTCCTTCTATCTGAGCCATGAGTTCATGACAAAGTTATCTTGCGCATCTTAGGAGAAATATACGATAAGAATCGCAATGTTTTACTTTTAGAGTTTATGTATGTGTACACGTACATTATATTTAGGTTTCTAAATGTTAGGTTCAAGCGCAAGTAGTATTGGTTTTCCACGTAGCGAAAGATGTAGTGTTTCACTCAAATTCTAACAAAAACTATTTGGTTAGTATATTGTGAATTCATTGTTACTTTCTGGGGCCTTCTCATAGCTTTTAACTATTATTGCTACTTATTTGCTTCGTTCGTCAGAATTTCCAGATTTGGTGCTAAAAAACAAGTGAATAAAGTTTTCGAAATTCTCTTTACTGTAAAATATATATTTACAAATTTAATCTGCAAATGCAATTTAATCTTACGAAATTAATCTGGAAATGGGGTTAATTTGTCAAGGCGAGGTCTGAAGAATAAGGTGAGTGCAGAAGAACCACTTAGGCTCTTGCAGAATAGTTTTTACAATTTTTACCATGTGCAGTCTGGCATTGTTGTGGAGCAGAACGAGCTTTGCCTCTCGGATCTTGCCGGTGTGACAGCCTTCCTAACTCGATACACCGAGGCCACATACATATCTTCGTTAATTTTCTTGTTTTTGTCAACCATTTTGCAATATATATGACCCATTCAGTCGCATCAAACGCAGAATGGAGATCACGCTCAATTAGGGTTAGGTTAATCCACGCAAGCTATCCATTATTTTCTATTTTACATCGACATAAGGGCATAAGTTTCTCATCATTGGTAACAAGTGCATGTGGCAACCTCTCTCGAGTTAAATATTGAGAGCCAAACTTCGGATTTCCGAAAAACCGATAATAGATTTTGGATACCTGGTGGTCGTCACATGACTGCAGCTCATTATCTCATTGAATGCGGCCGTCATTTTTGGCTTTTAAAAAAGTGCATTTAATTAACATCGAACGACCGACTGTCGAGGGATGCATCTCCTAGTTACCAGATTCCATTATCGAACTTTGCAAATTAATTTTGAGCTGGTCCTTCAGGCATGAAGCTCATATCCTACACGGCTTAAATACCTCCAACCCTCCTCGACAGCTTTGACCTCGGCGAGTAGTGAAATAGAGTGGGTTTCGAGCATGCATTTTTTCACCAGGAACGTCTAGAAAGCCTGAGTTCTAGGTTAAAGTACACTAATTGCACAATGAAGTTACGTTGGATCTGGAAGTTACGAGATGCACCAACGTTAAACTGAATAATAGGATTTTTCAGAGACTGATGCTACCTTAGTGTATTTTCCAGTAGTAACTAGCATGTTGATGAGACCTCTATATATTTTAATAGATGCCAGGGTTTATACCACTTGCGTCCAAATATGAACGAAATTTGATTTTGTGTAATATTTATTATAGTTGATAGAATTTGTCAAAAATGATAATATGTAAAACGTCTTTTTCTGAACCAACCTCTACGAAAGCTGTGGCAGTTGGTGGGTAATGGCGGATTTGTAAACTGTGAAATCCTGTTTACTATTTTTTGCATACTTTATTTTTTTGCAAGTGATACTCCGTTGTGTGGAATCCAGGTAATGCATGTAGAATGATAGAAACATCATTCTCGATAGTATCTTTGAGGAGTTAACGTAAGCCTGAACAGTAAACTCACACGGAAGAATATCGTGTTAATCTTATTCATCATTAATACTTTAAACCCAAATCTTTGCAAAGACAGCTAAACTCTAGATTGCGCAAAGCGTTTTTACATTGAAAAGATTTTGAAGGAGCCGGAGTTTTAAAGCAATTTGATTGCAGGTTTGTGCAGCATGAAAACGTATGTCTTTATTAAAATGTTTTTAAGAAATTCGTTAATATCTGTCAGTGTTCTTTATCTTACTACAATTACCTACCGGTACCCTCTTTATCAGTTTTTTGGTGATGCATATTATGGCTGATTATGCTATCATCATCCCAGCTCATGTCGCCTGGTAGAGGCGCACCCAATTGTCCTAGATGAAGCACGCGAGCCGTACGGTGCAATGCAGGCAACGCTGATCCGGGTTGGCGTGCTTGCTCTGACGCAAGCCCAAGTCCTATCTCGGTGTCCGTTGTAAACGCTGCCCAGTTTTGTTCGGGAGTGACGATTAGCGCAGCCAAACAAAAGGCAGCAAAGAGCACGGTCAGTTGCATGCTGGAACTAAAATAACGACACAAGTTAGATGCTTGTCTATAGAGGAAAGTTATTTGTTTAGCTACATGAATGGGTAGCAGATATTATTAATCTTAATAAGAAAATAAACTCGAGGCCCATTTAATCGTGTGTGATTATGACTAATAGCACCCCAATATTTAGATTTGGATTCGTTCCCTAATCTGCTGAGAATTGCAATTTCTTTTGTCTGCTGACTAAAATAAATCGCCCTACTGCTCGTCTTCTCTAAACGTTGCTAAACGACTGTAAGCTAGCGATTCACGAAACCAGGTGCGCGGTGAAAATCCTATATGAACAGCAGTACTAGCTGTTTTGCATTTAGGACCCGAAATGATCCGCGCGCACGGTCTAGCTTGGTTTGTCACAACTAAAAATTGTTTACCATATATATATATATATATACAAGCATATATAATATGTCGAATATATATTCAATGTGCTTGTAGAAGCGTAAAAATCATACCCTAAACTAGCCGGCACCTATAGCAACTCTCAGTATATAAAATGTTCAAGGATTCCATTATTTTGCATGAAAGCTTAGTGGAACAACCAATCGTAACATATATCACTAGTGCGATCTGGGTGCAAGCCGGAACTTTGCATAGTTATGATATAATGGACTGTTCAGCTTCGGTACTGTTAGGGTCGAAGTAGTATCAAATATATCCCGAACCATGGCCCAAGCTGATGAAGAGGTCCAGGGTTTAGTGGATGGGAGTCCCACGGTACCAGACAAAGCACAATTCAGTGATGTGTGGCCTGCATAATGCATTTGCCCTCAACCTCCAAAAAAACCGTTAGAGTATTAAACGTTAAATATATTAAATGGTGTATGTCAGGACTCGTTTATTGTAGCGTACTTTCTTTCAACTTATGCCCTACGCTGATGGCCGTATAAATTAGCCAGTTTCGGACATTTCTATTGGATCTCGGATACGCACGAAGTGTAGACTTTTTCGCATTGTCATTCTAGATCAGCTCAGCTGGCTTGCTCTGTCTCCCCAGCTGACGCATGCCACTAGATACCTAGTCAGTTTTCTAACTGAGTGGCAGTAGCGTGAAACGATACGTAATTTAGCGTTACGCCGGTTAAAAATCAGACCCGTATGAATTTCGCTTAACGGCCTTTATATCAGGCATGTATCGCTGAAGTCATCTGAGGTACGCTTCGCAGCGAAAGGTTATACGGTGATGACGAATACACACACACACACACACACACACACACACAAACACTGATGCGTACACCGACGACACGGGGTAACAACATGACATTTCGTAAAGGCGCGTCACCTCACCATGGAAATATGCTATGTAAATTTTTCTTCATGATTGAAAGGGTCGTAAATCTTACTATGAAGTAGATAGTGAATTTTCCTTTACTAGACTACGAGCTGTTGTCGGGGGGCGGGGGGGGGGGGGGGTAAGTGATTGCAATAGTTCTAATGTAAAAAAGCTGCGACCGTCAAATCCAAAAAATTTGCGATGGTAGTAATCTAACGGCGAAAAAAAGTTGACTCAATAGCTCGTGCTGTGCTTTCGCGAAGCTTAACGTTTAGAAGAGCTGGTTGAATAAACCGACAGGCGTTGAACGCATATAATACCACTTTTCGAATTTGCGCAGTAAAATGAGGTCGGCGAAAACTACGTGTTGGTCATTGCCATTACCATTTGAAGCGATTCCTGTCCAACGCGAATGCTCCCATTCACGATCGTCGCTCGACGTCGTTGCTCCCAGCGTTCGCTCAGAAATTCTCGCGGATCACAACTACCCCTACAAGCTTCTACGTTTCAATCTAATAATATGCGCCTTTTTATATACAAACAAACAGTTTAACAGATACCATGTTATGCATACGGCTGCGTGCTTGCATTTGTATAATATACACTAGGCGAACATTACGAGCTGCTCTATGCTGCCTCTCGTATAGTAAAGCGAGCAATAGAACCTTGAATCTTTGTATATTGGTAGCGCTTTTAGCCAAACGCTCAAATGTGATCATCTCTACACGCTGATTAGGTAGGTGACGTCTCATCTATTGTTCAGGCGCGTGACGTGGTGGAACTGAATGGAAATGTTTATTTCAGTATCTATTAAAGGGATTGTAAATTCTACGACAGGTGTCCGTATCTCGAATCTACAATATAGGATGGAAACAGTACTAACCTTAATATACGTTAGAGTTTGCAGAAGGTCAAGGACATGGATGTGGCTAAAACGGAAAAGAAGTAGCATTTGTTGTCGTTAAAGCCATCAATGTTAAATTAAAAAATAGCTATGTTGCCTAGATTATCATTGATGTGTTTCAATAGTGAAATACATATGAGTTTGACGAAAAAAAAAAAAAAAAAAAAACACGATTTAAGCCAGAACAAAATGGGCATATCAGCTCATTCCACTGTTTAGTCAGTTGTTGTCCGTTGATTCAGCTACATTGAAACTTGCGTTATTTAAAATCGTTTCCAATATATTTTTCTTCAGAATTCGTATCGTTAAATTGCGGTTTGAAAATTGCCCCTGTGTAGTTAAGTGTTATTATTTTGTTATTATGCAAGTATACTATTTATTCTCTCCCAAAAGATAAAGATGTACCGATTGGATCACATGTACGAAAAAAGTTGGCATCAAGCGATTCACATATAATATAGCAGATCGACAAAATAGAGTATAATATTACAGAATCGAAGAAAAGGTGACGACAATTCGTTCCATTTGCTAGTGCCTATTTTGTCCTGTGTGTTATTTGGAAAATATGATTCATAGGTACCTGGAATGGACGTCTATTCATTGGCACGATAAGCTTAGCCACCCAATATGAATTTCAATTTAGAATGCTTCATCTATTCGAGTATAACAAACGAACGAACGTTTCTCCTGAACAAAAATAGTTCTTCTGGCCCCGACACTAGAATATAGGCCCCTGCTAAAAAAAATTCGGCTTTAGGCGCTCACCTGGTATTTCTGAGGAACGCTATATATATATATATATATATATCGACCTAATTCTAATATTGCTATAAATTCATGTGAGCTGCGACTCGAACGCTGTTATAGCCATCCCGTATTACGTAAACGATAATGAAACTACTATGGCTGAAATGATCAGCCGCGATCACATAATGCGGTAGGTAATATAAGAGAAAAGTAAGCTGATACAGGTCGCAGTTTAAGTCCGCAGTACTTGCTACTGTAGAAGTGTAATTCTTATTGGCGTATAACGCGCTGGCAATGCTCTTGCTATTATTATTTTTTATTTACTTATTTATTTATTAATTATATTATTATACAACGAAACAACAACAACCACAGAGCAACAACAACAACCATCTCTGTTTGCAAAGCGTGTCGCGTGTCTTACCGTCCCTCGTTACCTTCTTCCTTTGCTGCCTACCTTTGGAGCCTAGATATCACAGTTAAAAAGTGTAGCTGTTGCCATTGCTACTGGCGTCGTAAGGATAAAGAACTTTTAGCGGGCTTCAGGTTCAGGACACTTCCGAAGTAGAAATCGCTGATAAATTAGCAGGAAAGCCGTCAGCGTTACAACAAATGGTGCGGAGTATCTCTAAAAGTCATTCATGTAGGTATACGGACGCTAAGTATGTGCACACTTACATCTCGATGTCCTATCTCTTGCATCGTTTAGCCCGTTCTGTGTACTAACAGCATTGAAACTAAAGCATCGTTATCATCGTATGTCATAATAGTAATGATGATAATGATTGTTGCTGGTAACTTCGACGCACTGATGGTTGTTGTTCTTCTCCTCACAGTAATAACGATAGAGACGTGCATTTCGGGTTCCTGTCAGTGTTATAGCTATTACGCGTGGCAGTTCTTCGTGCGACGCATTTGCCTATAATAGTGGCCTTTGAACCCGAAGTTGTTACAGCGCTGACAATAAGAACGACACCAACGCTCATGTTATCACCTACATTTACTACAAAATCATCATCATCATCAGAAGCAACATTGAATTACGTGGCGCGTTTGTTTCATGGGCATTTCTGATCCGTTTCAATAATCCTGCTGCCGTTAATAGTGCCATTTTGCCCACTCGCTTTGACGTTTATATGGCCTCCGATAAGATATTACAGTGCTCATGTACGCCTACATTGATTCTACACAAGCGAAGGGTTATCACTATTTTTAACTGATCGAGACCCGGACTCGTACCTTTAGCAATAAACGATTACGTCGAGTTTATCTTTTCGATTTAGTCTTTAACCCTTACCAGCGTATTTTGTCTATATGGCCAAAGACAAAAGTCACAAACACGGGTTCTATTCACTTGCTTTTACTTGATAATATATTGGAGGTTTTATTTAGTATCTGCGATAACATTCCTTTCTTACATAGTCTATGTTCGCTGAATGATTGTTTTGGTTCACCTGGGTGCCTCTTCGCCTGAGCCATATCTTTACCTTACGTTGCGATTAAGTACGGCAGTGGGAACAGTCTAACACTGAAGTTTCAAAGCACAAATACAGAAAGGATGTAACGTCTACCCTAATTAAGTTTTTCCTGAAGTGTTAGTTTTTGTTTTTATTCAGTTCAGCATTTATGATAGACTTACTGGCTCTGCCAATTTTTTCGTCGGGATCTTAACTGCGGAGAACGAGGCTCGAATGTAGCTATTTCACTGTTTAAAAGTTAAGCGAGAGTAAGTGACGAGTTAATAATTATAATCAAGAAATAAATACAGGTTTGTACTTAATCCCTATAGAAGCATACATATATTAAGTATTATTATATTATAATAATACTTAATTATAAAAGGAGTAATTCGGCTGGACAGTATTTCAGTCTCCTTAGAATCCATGAGTGAGACGGCTCACTTTACTCTAGGAAAAGTTAGTTCAGAAGGAAAAGCAGTTTTTTTCGGTTCGGATATCAAAGGTCAGTTATATTAAACTTTTAAACCTCGAAAACCATAGCGCGGCGGAAATTCATTGGAGATTTGTAAAAACATTAGACAATGAGGTCGTAAGTTAAAACACAGGATGTGAATAGCGCAAATAGCACTTTCAAGAACGGAAACTGGAGGTAACCAGATGTTAAGATTCAATAAAAAGAACACATTTCAACAGGAGGCTTTTTACAAGAGCAAGGTTGGGAAGCATAGGGCTCCGTTAGCCAAGACTAACGTTTCACATGTAATGTGTTTCATAATTGTAACCCAAAACTCAGCAAAAAAAAATGGGCTGTTTGGATATTATGCCAGTAGGAAATACATGGAGCACACGTGCAATCTTTGGGGCTTTAATAAACGAAAAACTCGTCCGGAGCGTACGATCGCTATGATTCAATCTCGACTGGAGAGGGATCAGATGAAAGAATGGCGTCGTTTCGGATAAGAGCTCGGTAGGGTAAATTTAGATGCCAAATGATGATAGTAGTTGCAATGAACACCAGGGGCATTTCCTACTATAAAATACTTACCAATAAATTGAGGCCACCATTTCAAATTCTTTAACAGGCTCATGGAGTGTTGGCACCGCAAGCGAAGACTCGTAATCCGGTTACTTGATGACAACGCCAGACCTCATCGTCATGCCTCAGTTACTTCCTGGACTGAGCATGGAATACCCAACGCTGGTTTCAATCCGCTTATTCTCCCCGTTCAATGTCTGTGCGATTTCTATGCCCCAAAAGAGGCAACAAGTAAACAAGAGTATACAACCATCGATTTACTTCAACAAGCTATAGATAGAGAAATTCCATATAAGAAAAGGTATTGTTGTCACATAGCTATCCAGAGGCTACCGGAGCCCTGGGACATGTATATGAGAAATAAAGGAAGTACTCTCCTTTATAACCCATTTTAAAGATAATTATCCTAGCTTAACCAATTTCAAAGTCCACTGGATTCGTCTATACCAAATTAATACGTCATATCCAAGCTTGTAAGCACACACTGCACTGAATGGAATAGACAAGCAACGGAACCTTCAACTGTCCTTTGACGTTTGCTGTCTGAAACAGTAACTTTCTTTGACGGTCTCTTCCGGGAACACTTTCTCTCCCTCACTCCGTTACAGTCTCTCTAGTCCAGAGCTTCGGCTATTTATCTCTGCTTTTGTTGTATTATATTTTACTTTTCATCTGAGCGCTTTTAATGTATTTCGGCAACACAAGTAGCAACTAAACTTCTCAGTTTTCTGTGGCTGTACCACAAGGAACGGTTGACTTGCTAGACTAGACAGATTTCTGAGGTCCTATTGACCATTTGTAACGCTGGATACCAGAACATATCATCGCAGCAGCAGTAATTGTTGTTACGCTACTATGACAACTGCACAGAAGTCGACTCTTCTAAGCAGCTGCCCCAACAGAAGCGTCATCAAAATCGTGGTCATCACCGCCGCCGATATCCGCGTCAGCCAAAAGCGGTGGTTCCCTATGCCGGTAGTTGCCACTGGGCTACAGCGTACCCAGTGGGATGAAGATTGTCTCTACTGTTATCGACAGCACCGCCGCTGGCATTCATTTGTGCTAACAATGATAGAGGGATGAGCAGATGTCTTTAGCTCGAGTGGCTAGCACGGCCGACCGACAAGAGCATCTGCAGCTGCGATAGGTCCACGAGGGCGACGATGACAAAACGCCAACGAAGAAGATACCGGAAGAGCGCGAGATGCTGTGGCATTGTCTCCTTACAAATAACTTCAGATGGCCGTTTTGATGAGGTGAGGCGTTTGGTAAAGCTATATGTCGACCACGATGCAGCAAACCCCTATGTAGTCCCTATCATGTCACAGATGGTCAAATTGCACGTTGCAGTGGGCGTGCCTGGCCGTCGTATAGGACAAAGTGGTCCATGTATTTAAGGGCGCCTAAACGAATTTCAAAGAGCCTGTGACTTTAAATATCTCTATGATGTACATCTTTCACGCCGTACCGCACTCATTCAGCCCAGCGAGTAATTTATTTCGTTATTAAGATTAAGCCATTTTCAATATCCTTCACATACACGATCCTAGATCATATGTCTAGTCTTTGTAAATCATGATGCCAGATTAACATCAGCAGAAATGACTGCACGCTACAATCAATGTATCATTTATATAGTTCCAGTAGTTGACACATTTGCTTTTGCCAACACTAGAAGAAGCCGATCGGATCTGGGTAGTCGATTGTCGCGAAAAACACTAGCCGTCTGCGTTTTACATTCACGTCTGAACCTTCAAAATCAGCTGATAGTTGTCTCAGCGCTCAGTCGTCACTACCCAGGGTATTTGCTTATTCATGGCGTCGTTTAAGAATAACATAAAGAGGTCCATTCTACTTTGCGAACAACTATTAGAAATAACACAGCTAATATAGATGAATTTTATTTCAAATATTCGCGCGTAAAACGTCAGTTACCATTAATAGAGTTTTCATTTGAGAGAAGTTTGACCTGTCAACACGGCCAGACCAATACATCTAAAGCTTCTATTTACCCCCGTTTTTAAGCAAACTGCTTTATTAGTCATAGCCAATCTGACATAACCGAAAAAGACACGTTTTAAGCTTCAACGGACGAAAAAACTGGATGTTTCGAATCAGGAAGTGAATTAAAACTGGCCGATTTAAACAGGCATTTTGAGTATTTCAAGCAGTTACGATGCTTAGTGGACGACCAGGAGAATAGCAAAAAATTTTTAAAAAAAAAAAACAAACAATAATGTTACACATATTTCAGCAGTGCAGATGCGGTAGGTCCATAATATCGCAGTCCGTTCAGTCACAATCTACATCACAACGTTTTCAAGACCTTGACAAACGTGGTGAGCAAAATTAGGAAAGACAGAGGCAGTCGATCCGGTTAGTTGTTTATATTCCACATTGATTAAAGAAGCCACTGCTGTCAAGAACTTTATAAGAGGGGTACAAAATAAAAAGCAATGGATAAATGGGACTATGTCTCTGTATTAGGTGGATAAGGAAGTAACGTGCAATTTGCTCAATCAACAAAGATACAGCAAATTTCGATTTCATTTTATTTGTTCCGTTTTGCCAGGAGTTTCCAGGACTAGCGTTCGGGAACTGGTTTAGCCATGCTTTCAGGCCTTTCCCTTGTCAAATGTGCCTTGTTCGACTACTACCGTCTGCTACTATTACCGTCTAGCCTATGCACATACGGGTTGGATATGACGATCTCATTTTTCTCAACCATTTGCTAGCGCGCAAGACTTCTCCAATCTTACCAAAGGCGCCTTACCAGTGGTAATCTGGCCTAACAACTTCCGCTTTAGGCGTTTCTCCGGTAGGGGCCTATTCCGTTGCTCGCTTCATACTTTCATACATTTTTCATAACCTGTAACAATCATCTTGGGAGCGCGCGTTGCCGCCTGTCGGTAGCGCGTCAAGAGGCAACAGAAACACCCGCTTTCTTTTGCTTTTTATTCGGGTTATGGGACACTCAAATTTCAGTTTTTTTTTTTTTAAGTAACTTTTCGATCCCGGCAAAAGGCGAAATAAGATTACCAATTAGCTTAATACTTAGATTTTTAATCAGAGATTCGATGATGAATACCATGCAAGCTGGCTATGCGAACATGTCGAAGAAGGATATGTTGCATAGAGGTGGTTCTAGGTTTTTAATCGTTACTGGGATTTTGTAAAAAAAAAATGGGAAAATTGTGAACTCGTTCTGTTTAATCGTTGCTATATGCAATAAACAGCTATACGGCAGTGAAACGGCCTTTGGGTGCTCAACGTTCCTGAGCGGTTTCAATCAATCTAATAATATGGTAGAGTTCTATTAGTTTGCATGACGGTCCGTATGGAATATCCTTATACGAATCTGGTTCAGCAAATGTAGGGGTCATTCAAGCTGAAGATATAATATAGGATAGTTCGATGCAACTCCTACTGCAGTGCTTGTGTTATTATATATTTCCATTTTGCTATTGGAAGTGAAATTACAGTTCGCATTTTTATTATGGCCAAGTTCTTTAATCATCATCATCAAGAGTCATCAGATATAACTTGAACTTACCAATCGTCTGATTTGTTGAATACATTTCAAATACGGTAAATAGCGATATTTTTTTGAAATAGCATTTATTTAGATGTGTACAACGGCTAGGGAACATGAAACGATATGCATTTTGTGATCGGGAAATTCTGCAGTGCGCAAATCAACTTTTTTTTTTTGACACTAGAATGTAGTATCGTTATTTCAAATCCAAGGTAACGTTTGCTCGAGCGTATTGAATTTGCTGAAACTTAGTAAAAACTGAATATTATAAACTCGAAATAAATGACAGTACGCACTGCAAATAAAAATTATATAAAGGTCGTCCTCGTTGATGATAATGCCTTATAAGACATTTTGTCGTTAACCGTTCACAACAGCAAACAGGATTTACTATTATTATATAAATTTATTGTAATAACAAGCAAGATATGTATGTAACAACATATCAATATTAAAACTGAGGCGTGTATATATATATATATATATATATAGTATGTACAGCAGCGATCGGCAACAAGGACGTTTGCAGACGACCACTTTTGTGGCCATCAAAAAACGGAGAAAAAAACGACAGCAGATCAACGGTTGAACGTGAGCGACGGATGAGGCTTCGTTCGACTGCTTGGTCAAGCAATCAGTTCGTCCGACACGTGGTCGTAATTGGTATGAGCAGATGTAGCAGACGAACTTCGACGTACTGCGATACATCAGTACCGTCATGTCGTTTCGTAAACGTTGTGTTATTTTGTCATAGCCGTGATTTGTAGGGAAGAAGTGAGCTAAAGATAAACAGAAAAGTAGCTATTATGTCAACGAGCAGTCTTCTTTAATTTCGTGGCGAAGGGCATAACGCGTAGATAACTCGGTGGTTTGGCGAATTTAGCACACTTTTTTTTTTGTTCCATGCTTTGTGTACGGTAAAGAACAGCTAAAACTATACGTGTTCATAATGTCAGCGCAGTACACCGTTAATGATATTGATACATAATTGTTGTAATAGATCAGTGTTTCTCCTGTTGATACGACTCATCGAGGTTTTATCGTTTGTTACATAGCTCGTTGCGTCCCTTTTAGGGATTTTAGTATTAAATAGGTTCGTATGATAATGTAGGAAATCGACATTCATTCATATTTAAAAATGGCGCCATTTTATAGCGGTACGACATCCCGCGACGCGTTTTTCTGTTTTTTGAAATGCACCTATACTTATTAGTATCTGAGACCATTCATTCGATTACCGTCATCCAGGTTCTTAAAGGGCGAGCATAAAAAATAAGAAAACTCGAATGGTTCAGGAATATGAGCTTCCTTGTGGGGCCACATTATCAGAAATCGTTTACCGTATGCACCTTCTATTCGGTGAAGTATCAACTGCTAGAGCTCGAAAATGAGTAAAAAACACTGAAATGTTCTTAGTTGCAATTGAAGCCAGTTTACGGGGATCTAATGAGTATAATAATAATAGCATACTTGTTCACCCCGGTCAAGTTACTATGGTAAAAGATTCGTGAAATTAATGCCAGCAACGATCAAAAACAAAAACGTGTAAACGTTTACTGCTCTGTGCGTTTGCATTTGACGGTGACCCACTTTTGCATTAAATCTGGGCTTGTCATGAAAGTGAATTTCCACAGTATATAGATATGTATCTAGTTGCAATGGCTTCTGATGTC